TCTATAGCTATTTGACATTCTTTACATATCCCACACCTCTTTCATTAATAATTAATTCACAACAATTACCTTACATTTTTTAGTCTAATCAACTTACTAATAGCTTACAATCTATTGCTAATTCTAATCATAACCTAACCACTATTTCATTTTATACTTATGGATCTGTTATTGAACTTGGTATCTCTCAATGCTCTATAGCATAGGTTGAGTTTAAGTTGATAATTCTGCAACTATTCATTCATTCTAGGTACAAGTTAAACTTTGATCATGCTTCTTTAAAGCTGAAATTCTTGCTATTCTCTTAACAATTATAACTGCTTCTAGAAACTGTTCTGTTCATATCTTTATAGACTCACAATTTGTTATTTCCAAATATCATAATATCTGCTTATTACTATCTAAACTTTCTCATACTCATACTTCATATTTCTCTATTTGGCAAACTCTTATTAACTTTATTAACTTATACAATATTCAGCTTACTTTTTATAAAGTTACTGTACACCAAGATGATCTATTTAATAACCTTGCTAACCAACTTGCTTGTAGTTACTAAATACTATCTTTTTTAATATTCTTAACTAATAATTCTTATAATTCTGCCTATACTTCATTTATTGTCTAATTTCTTATTGAGATTTCTATTTGATGTTTCATTTATACTATTTATTAAACTCACATTATAACACTCTGAATATCCTAACATTATTTTTAATAATGGTCTATTATTGCTTTTAATATCAACTGAAAAGCTACTTGGCTTTATATTAATAATAATCAAAAGGTTTCTAAGTTTGTCTATAGTTTTTATTCCTCTACTCTAAAAACCTTTTATGTTAAAATTCTCTTAGATGAACTACCTGTTCCTTATATTCTTTACAAATGTAACTTCTTTTATTCCCTTCTCTGTTACCAATGAAATCAAACTAGCTTTTTATTATACTGGACTCTTTGTCTTTCTACTCAAACAATTTATCACTTAATCTCTAATTCTTTTAATTGTATTCTAAATGCTACTGTTCTTAACATGTCCTTCAATTTTGTTTCTAATTTATATCAAGAAATTCTTACACTTAATAGCTTTAAATTACATAACTCTTCATATATGCCATCTCTTATTTTTATTCTATCTGGTTTAGTTCCCATTAACCTTATTTCTACTATTTATAATACTTTTATTTCTTATCATACAACTACTTCTCTTTCTATTAAATTTTTTTTTTATTTAAATTGACAAATATACAAACAAATATGGATTCCATATTGCATTTTATGTTCTGCATAGTCTCAAAACAAACTTACTACAAATTTAACCCATAGCTCTTCTTTTAGTCTATCTTCTATCTCAGTACCTCAAATTATTACCAAAATTGACCTTTGAACTATCCAATGGATTAAATATTATATTCTTTTCTCTTATATTATTACTAACATCCAAATCTAGGTGAGCCTTGATCACTCTTATAGGTTTAAGTTACAGATTATATATCTGAGTCTTTATTCTTCATATATAATTTAAAAGCAAGCTTTTCTTTATAAAAACTTCAATTGAATTTTAATAAAGTTAAAGGCATGACCTCACTATTAAAATTTAAAAAAAAAAATTTTAATTTATTTATATAATTTTTATTTATTATATAATTTTATTTTATAAGATTTTATTATTTTATTTTTTTCTTAACAATTTGCTCAAATTTTAATTTTATAGTTATTATTTTAATTACAAAAAAAATAAAAAATTATTTTAAATAATAAATATCATTAGTCTAAGTATCATATACTGGAATACTAATTAAAATCCTAATAAGCATGATTCTAGCAAGTCATAATTTCAACAAAAAAGTTCTAACAATCAAAATCCTAATAATTAAAAATCTTGACAGTCTAAATTATAAAATAAAAAATTTTTTATAATTTAATTAACTTTAGAGTTAGATTACTTTATATAAAGGTTAGAGTAGAGTTAGTTATAGTATATAATTTTTATCAAAACTTTAATTATCAAAATTTTTAACTATTGGATTTTTACCATTATGGTTTTTGTTGTTAGAACTTTTTTGTAAAATTATAACCTGTTAAGATTTTTTTTCCAGAATTTTGACCAAAACTCTGAATACCGCAGCTGCTTTTTACTTATTGTATGCATTTCAATATAACCATTAAGTCTAAATTATTACTTTTATCCAACATAACTGTTTAGTTACTGAATCACTCTTAAACTTCTTTCTTAATATTATTACGAATGTAAAAATCTCAATTCTCAGATTGCAACTAGAAATATTTATAAAATTAATCGTATTAATTTTACTAGTTCAGCATTAATTTCACCCTGAGATGGGATCAGTGAGCTATAATCGGCTATTACTCATAGTCGGTTAACTGCAACTAAATAACCAGCTATAGCTGATCAAAATTAATTACTTTATCAAATATCTAAACCAATTGTATGTTGGTTTAATAATTGTTATGATTGATGCTGATTTTGGTTAAACAAAGACGATTTCTTATGAAATTTTTGATTTTTTTCTAAATTGACGTTGGTTTTGAATTTATGCTATGCCAAATCATATTTACTATTGGCTAATTCAGTCATCACAACATTGGCCAAAATAAATATCGTCCAATACTATTTACTTTGTGCACTTCTTTAAAGTTTATATCAAAATGGCATTAAGTTAGTGCTGCTACTAAAATAAGTTATGTATCTAATTACTGCTTAAAATTTAATAAAAATCATGATTTTTCAATAGATTCCTAATTATGGTCAAAATTGCAAATCACTTGACCAGATTTTAAATTGTTTTGTTCTAGATCTGGCCAAATGATCTGCAAATTTGACCAGAATTATAAACAATAGATTCCTCTCTTTATACGATAATGCAGACCACCAGTAGTAGTGAAATTATTAAACCAAACATACAATTGAGTTGTCAATTATTTAGATATTTGATAAATAAATAAATAAATTAATTGATCGGCTATAGCCGGCTATTTAGCCGTGGCTAGCCGGTAATAGCCAACCGATAGCCACCGTAGCCAGCCAGTGTTGGTCATATCCAACTTTATGTATTAGTAAATTTTATAAGTCATAACAGGTCATAAGGTCATAACCTATAATTGGCCAATAGGTCATAACAGGTCATAGGCCAACACTGTAGCCAGCCGATCCCATCCCTAGTTCTGTGGGATCCTCCGGTTCCTATTGAATGCGTGTTCGATAAATATACTACGCCATTCTTCGTCCATTAATTATAAGATTTGGTGTAATATTAATTTAAAAGAGAAAAAAGAATCGCTGGCAACTTAAAATATTGTTCATAAGACCACATTTTGTGCAATAATAATAAAAAATTCCTTGACTAGTAAACCCTCCCGGGTCCCGGATTTTCATGAATATACCATTACATAATCGTCGAATTCCTTATTAGAACGATTTAAACTATAATTGTTTGTGTTGCATCTAAGGGTGTAACACGTATTTAATTGGGATTTTACCGCTGTATCTCAGGAACTTTACATTTCTAAAAATGATTGAGCAACTGCCGAATGAATGCCTTTATGAAATATTTAAGTACTTCAGTGACCTTAGGAAATATCATGGAAGCTTATTTTCATGCCTTCTTGTAAATCGTAAATGGTGTAGAATTGCAGTACCACTATTGTGGAGCAAACCGCTGGATTATTCCTCCGATGAAAGGATTATAATGATGTATTTTTTATCTTTAAACATTGAGGATCAAAAGCGACTTATTCCACTAAACATAAAGCTTCCAAAATTTTCAAAGCCATTATTTGAATATACAGCTTATACCACTTCTATTGAAGGTTATAATTTATTTATTAGCATGCAAAAATGGCTTGGTACTTTATACAACCCAACTATTTCTTATAGATTAGCTTATCTTTCACATTATACGATCAATTCCCATCGTAATCGTTATGAAACTTTTCATAATATCAGATTTTCGTTGATCAAAATGTTTCTACGAAAATGTAATAAGCTCAAAATTTTAAAAATTTATGGAATTATTGATAGAGAGACAATAGAAATCCTTAATATAAATACCAACCTTACTTCTCTAAAATTTTCACGTAATAATTTTTCAGAAGAAATGAAGAAATTATTAGTGGGTGTTCTCGGCACAAATACAAATTTAACTTCTTTGGACATTACTTATAACCAACTTAGTTATGAAGAAGCAAATATATTAGTGAAAATACTCCACAAAAACGCCATTCTGACCTCTTTAAATCTTATTGAGAATCAACTTGGTTCTGAAGGTGGAAAAACAATAGCAAAGATTCTTGATAATAATTGTTCTTTGACATCTTTAAACCTTGCTTGGAATCAACTTGGCTCTGAAGGAGGAAAAGCAATAGCAAAAATTCTTTACAGTAATTACACTTTGACTTCTTTGAATCTTACTCGAAATCAACTTGGTTTTGAAGGAGTAAAAGAATTAACGAAGGCTCTTTATAAAAATAATGGTTTGACTTCCTTGAATCTTAGTGGCAACGAACTTAATCACGACGCTGCAAACGCATTGGCGGAGGCACTTAACATAAATAAGACATTAACTTCTCTGAATCTTAGTTATAATAAACTTGGCCCTGAAGGTGCAAAAATTTTTGCAGAAGCTCTTTGCAAAAACATTAATTTGACCTATTTAAACCTCGGATTTAATCAACTTGGTCCTGAGGGTGGAAAAGCATTAGCAAAAGCTCTTTGCAAGAATAATACTTTAAAATCTTTAGAACTTCACGATAATTCTTTTTACACTGAAGGAGGGAAAGCATTTGCAGAGACTTTATGCAAAAATAAAACTATAACTCATTTCAATCTTAATAGAAATGGAATTAGCTATAAAGGAGGAAAAGCGATAGCAGAAGCCCTTTGTATGAATGACACCTTGACTTTTTTAGACATTAGTAATAATAATCTTAAGTTCGAAGGAGGAAAGGCATTATTAGATTCCCTTAATAAAAATACCACTCTAATGGTTTTAATTCTCAGTGGGAATAAACTGGCCCTTAAAGGAGAAATAACATTTCCACAATGTATTTCTGATCAAGTTTATTTTATTGATTCTATTCGTTGTCATGAACTTTGCTGTAACAAAAATTCTTTAAAAGAAGAATTAGCAAAAGCTGGTAATAGAATTATTATTGAATCTTTTTGTAAATAACTATGTCGATCACCAAATTTAAGAGAATAAAGAACAGAATTTATCACGGGCTTTTATTTACTCAAATACGCTTATCTACCAATATATATTAAATCATTCGATTTTGCACGATATGCACGGCTACCGACTTTTAAGCACTGGTATGTTACGTTAACATACTGAACAATCATCTAAGGAGCTTAGATAAATTATAAATGAATCAAAGATGTTCCTATTTATTACTCTTGTATTATATTGTTATGCTTATTTATATATAAATCAAATGTTTGCTGTCTTTTATATTTTTTTCTTCTAAATCACAATCTTCTTGAGTCATTTGTAATAAAGATGCTATACGTCAAGAATTGTTAAAATTTTCTTCAATTTGGATACTATTTGCATTTTGTTAGTTTCTGTTTGTGCATAGAATTTTTAGTTAAATGTTTATTTGATTTACTATTCGTAAATTTGTTTTTTATATATGGGTGTATGCAGTTAGACCTCTTTATAATCCCCTTCTCTATAGTCATATTTATTATACTACATACATTTTTAAAACCAACTTTATAACAATTATAAATTTAACTTTTATATAGGCAAAACCTTTTGGTTAATACCAAATTCTTAAAATAAAAGGTGAGATTATAAAAGGTTTGATTGTATACATAAATGTTTCTGTTGAATGATTTTGTTAGATTGTTAATTCTTTATATAATTTATATTATAATTTTACTATTTATATTGTGTATTATTTTTTTATTTTTAAATTTATTTTATTGTTTAGTTTTTTTATTTCTGTTAAAATACCCCGATCACTATATCAAGATCACTGGGTATTTAGCAAAAATACCCTGACCATATGTGTACAAGCGGAAACTTCGTTTCCGCTAATACCCAATGGATCAGGATATTTTTATTACTAATATTTTAAAGACTTAATTAGGTGTCACAATTCTGTGATACACATTACCTAAAATATTATATTTTACCTTACTCTTAAAAGACTTATTTCAAAGTCTCTTATACTATCAATTTAAAATCTTAACTTTTTATACAAAACTACTACTTAAGTTATTGTTAACATTCTTTTTAACATTAATAAATAGTTATATAAGCAATTATAAGAAATATATTGTATTCATTTCTCTAACTGCAAAAAAACAATAAAACAAACTTTGAACTCAATTTATTAATTAAGCTATAATATTATCTAACTTAGGTTGTTCTTAGCAATATTGATAAAATATTATATACAATTTGAATAAATTCTTGAATAAATCATAACCATTGCAATATTATGTTCAAAGCATTGATTATTCATATTTTATAAAAGGTACATTTGCATAAATGACTATCTATATAATAAAAAAATCAATATAAAAATAAATAAATGAGGAATAAAAGTGAGATAGAACTTATGAGAAGTGAAATGATATTTTAAATCCATAATGCAATTAAATAACTGTTATGCTAGATTTGTGTTATAAACAAATTTTTGCACATTTTGAATGTGTGCTAGGTTTATGACTAGGGTTAGAGTACTGGGTTAAGCCTTTTGACCAAAAGATATACTCTTATCTTATAATATAGTGTTATTATATAATTGATCAATTATCAAATTAACCAATTAAAATTAAAGTTTACTATTGCAATTATGATGTATATATATATTATGAAACCAGAATATTGTAACTGATTACATAAAAAATACACAAAATACAATAAGTACAATAAGTATAATAAGTTATATTTATGATCAGAAACAGTATTTCATATTCAAAAAGTAAATAGTGAATAAGAGAAAAAATAAAGAATATTAAAATAAATATGTATAAATAACTTTAATTAGTTTTAATAAATAAGAAATGTAAAGTCACATTTGTGAATAATGAATTTAGTATTATAAATAAAGGCTGAAATGAGCTTTAGAAGCAGTATGCTTTGTTTGCTTTATAAAATAAGAAGCTATGCAATATTGTTACATGAAACCAGAAATAAGAGAAATCTATACAGGCACTATTTCAATCACATGAAACTATATTCTTCATTGCAATCTATTTCTGATATAAATAAATAACTCTTTATAAAAGAAGTTGATAGCATTATAATCTGATATTGGTTTGAATTTTAGCAGTTCCAATGAATCTGATCCAAAATTCTGGGGTCCTGCAAAATATTAAAAATCTATAAAACATATCTGTATTTAGAAATGATTAACAAATTCTTTGTATTAAGTCTTTGATGATCAGTAATTATCATTTTATTTGGCCAATAAAAAATTTGATGAAAAAAAATGAAAATTACCAAATATTTAACATTAAGGTCTTTAAATTTATATTGAGTCACTAATTTTTATATTTAAAAAGCTTATTTTTACTATTATTTGTTATAGCATCTTCGATTTTACAGATGTATATACTTATTTATGTTTTTTTAAAATATGGAAAGGTGTCAGTAGAAACCAAGCAAATTGTTTTTAGTGTATTTTTTTAAAATTTTAAATTAAAATATCTTAACAATTATCAAACCAAACTTGATAATTTTTTTTTATTTTAATTCTATAACTATATAAAATTAAAATAAAAAATTTTATTAAATTTGGTTTGATAGTTGTTAAAATATTTACTTTAAAATTTAAAAAAAATTTATTTAGAAACAATTTGCTTGGTTTCTACTGACATCCTTCCAAATATTGAATCTTCAATAAATTACACAGACCAATCAATTCCAAAATTTTGTATTTGTTCCTAGTACCTATCTTTTAAAATATTGTTCAGGATGCTTTACAAAGTTATGATAACAGATTACCCAATAATATGCTGAATATACATTATGTTGTACACTGTACAATTTCTGTTCTTGGTATATAAATAATAAACAATTCAAAAATTTACACATTCTTGCCAATTATTTGACTAAATTATTCATATTGTGAACCCGATTTTCGGGTCACAGGTTATAGGGACGGTGACCGTATCGAAGCGACGATCCTGACCTGATCCGAGGTCACACAAAAGTGACAGAAATGTCACTTATGTTACTTACGTCGCTTCTGCTACTTCACCGTATATGCGTTAAATGAAGAATATGCTTTTTATTTGATTTAAGTAAGATATAGCATATAAGAAATATATTGCGTTTATGAGAGAAATTAATTGTAAATGTAAACAAAATGTTTATTATAAATAAAGGGCATTTTTGCCTTGGGGAATAATTCCTCCACTTCTCGCATTGCTAATAACAAGATCATCACTTATAACTGTAATAAAAATACTACTTGCATACAACTAAGTACCCAACCCCTAATAAACATATTACCCTACACAAACTAACAAACTATCGTTAACCCCACCCCTAATATAACCGTTCGTCCATACACCATTAAATCGCTATTGATTGTCCGCTACAAGTTACGTGATCAAGTCGTCGCCGTAATAGAAGAAGTTCCAACCTCGATTCGATGAAGTGTAATTCTGGATTGAGGCATACAAGAGAAGACACGAGAAGGCAAGAGAAGGAAAAGGTAATAGAAGAATCGATTGAAGGAAAGACTTAGATAAGAGACAACAAGCACTTACCTGCGGATAAACCACCAGCCAGAAAGTTGAATTAGTTTAGAGACAGAATCGATGAATTCCGAACCATACCATAAAAGTCCAATTCTTGCAATTATCATTCCCTCCTGTAGTATCATTACGTTCCCGTCCGGCTGTTGTATCCTAAAGTACCAGGATCAGCTGTGGTTGTATCGTTCCATTATCCCAAAGGACTGAGGATAGTGAGGTTATACGTTGTGTCCAATTACCCGAAGTAGTGGGTAATTGAGGATTAAGTTAGTAACAGCTCAAGATTAGGAAAACCAAAGACAAGTCAAGGAAGAATACTTACCTACAGACCCAAACCACTGACCAAATCTAACACGCCAATTTTGACTTAGCCGCCGTAGGTTACACGAGAATTTGGATTGTGGAGCGACTGACTCGCCGTTTCGGCCAACAACAATATTAAGCATAGTGTATACTTGCTTTACAACTAAAAATTTGACATAGTGTACACTTGCTTCATATCAAAAATTCAGCATGAAATATAAATATATATTTGGTTAAAACAAAATAATTGATATCAACACATACCTTAATATCCATAGATCAAATTATAATTAGTGTTAGCATTAGTAAATAACATTCCATATATAGTATTTTAATTCAACAAAACAAGTGCCAGTTCAAATATGGCAGCCTTTAACTGTAACCTAAACATCAAATCATTTCATCAACCCAATAAAAAAACTATGAAATAAAATGGAAAATCCTCAAAATCTAATGAACATATGCAATAATTCACATAGAGCCACCAGTATTTATGCTAAAAAATCATCCTTTTACCACCTTTATTATAAAATCTCTAATTTAATGATGTTTCAAGTTTTATTTTCATTCATCTTATATATGTATGGTAGACATAATATATGTTCATGTGTATAAACACAGGTGCAATAATCAAGCCACCGGTATAAGGTGTGAAGTGACATGCGAAAGCATAACAATACGTGGTAAATAGAGTCACCTGGACCAATCAAGTGTTAAGAATCGCACTTACATATTAACTTGTCTGTAAACCATACACTACGTACTTCGTACTCCATTCCTGGTATAACAAGTCCCAATACATTGTAATCATCCATCATAAAATCCTAACACTATACTCAGTATAAACCCTGTAAACCCCTATAAATATAATCGTTCATTCAAGTTCTTGTTCACATGACATCGTCGCATAGCTATCTTATTACATAAGTAATACGTATTAATTTATTTAAAATTTTTACATAAATAAAATTAATATATAACTAAACCTTCTAAAAGAAAATAAGATTTCAGGCTTAGAATTGTTAAGGCTAAGTTGACTTAATTATAAGTTCAATGCCTATATCCTAATTTGTTTTTAAAAGTACTCAAATACAAACATAAAGTCATGATCTTTTTATTGCATGCTGTGTTTATAGCCACATGCAAATATTTTTATTTAACAACCTGGCTCAGGTACATACTTATATATGCTCATTATATGAGCCACGTGCTGTGCTTAATTGACACAAGCAAATATTTCACTCATCGACATGGTTTGTCTTTTGTTAGAGTCTTAGAGAATTCAGTCTTTGCTAAGAGCTTTGACCTTCACCAGGAGTTTGGGGTTTCGCATTTCGTCATTTCCCAAAAACATTTTCGTCTAACAACTATAGTCTGGAGACGATATTATTGATAATTTACAATCATATCAACAATTGCTCGATAAAAATCTATGGGATAATATATTGAAGAGATCTCTATCTTCAAATCGACTGATATCATCAGTAATTCTTCCACCTCGTGTAGTTTTAAAGCAAACACCACCCAGAATGACTGAGCCATTTTCAGTAATTGTTAATAAAGCACACACAGCTGTAATTTCTTCGTGGATAGATAAAAGAGAATATTCTGTAACAGATAATCCATATAAATTTAAATTACTTCTTCGTGAAACCAGAAATGGTTTTACTTCTGCATCTTTTTGGAATTTATGCAATCAGAAAGCAAATGTTGTTATAATTATAAAGGTTAAAGGCACTGACGAAATTCTTGGTGGATATAATCCTATTGGATGGAATAAACCGATTGGTGGTGGAAATATATATCGGAATTGTAACGAGAGTTTTATTTTTTCATTGAAAAATGGTACTATTAAAAATGGAATATATAATATTATGTATAGTATAGAATAGTAAATATGTATAGTATGGTTTATAAATTACAATGTATAGCATGTATATTTATAATTCTATACATTATACATGCCTACAATAAAATTTTTAAAAAAATTATACATTCGATAAGATTGTATAAAAACAAAAATTCGGTTACATATAACAGGTATGAACCTGTTACAAAAAGCAAAGTGACTGGATAATCTACACGAATAAGTTACATAATTTTACCCAATTGAATTATTTATGTATAGCAAATTAAACGTAATAGTGACCAATATAAAAAATATTTACTATATCAATAAATTAATTTAAAGCAATACAAATTATATATAACTATATATATATATATATTTATTTTTTTTAAAGCAAATGCCCCAGGCAGTCTAAAGCATACATTATTCATATATATATTAATTCGATAATATATATTACTCATCATATCCAAGCTCTTTTTCAATACCTAATCGACGTGCTTTTTCATAATTAAGAAGTTTGGCTTCTCTGAGTCTTTCTTTTCTTTCCTCAATTTCTAATTGACGTTCTTCTAATAAAATTTGTTATTCTAATTTATCTAATGAATTTTTTTCAGTAGAGTTAGACTTAATTCGTTTGTTTTTGTTTGATGTCGATTTTTGTTTTAATGTTTATTTTTTGTCTTTAAAATTTGATTTTAATAATAGGGTTAGTTTTATAATATATACAGTACAATTAGAACAGTATTTATAATACACATATAATTTAAAAATTAGTATTTACCATATCGTTTGACTGATTGTAATGCATGAGATATTGGTCCATTATTTTGTTCAGTTTTTGCAACCCCATATTTATCTTGTATTTCACAGGTTATATATTTTCGCATATCAAGTTTTCATGCCCTAAAATTATAGAATTCAAAATTAGATTTTTTAAATAATAAATTTTATAAAAAACAAAACTTACTTCTCAATTGCATTCATTAAACTTAATTCTTTCCCCTCATGATTAATGTCTGCATGTGCTAATTCAGCATTATTTGTTGTTTCATCAACAATATACCAAATTTCAGGATTAACTTTAGAACAATGTTGGCTTAAACTTGCAAGAACCCACAGTTGATTATAAAACTGTAACCAATCTGTATAAATTTAAATGTAAGTATGTACGTATGTACATATGTATATATATTAAAATTGTACTACAATTTATAAAATTATCACATGCTATATACATAAAATTATAAAAAAAAACCCCTCAATTCCAGCTTCGTCAATTAATGATATTTCATTTAATATCAATTGGATTTTTTCAAAACTTTCTGCAGTCAATATATTTTGCATTAATTGAGTAGCTTGTTTAGAAAATTTATGATTGAAAATATTTCTAAAATAAAATATAGATATTAATTAAAACTAATTAAGTAATAATTTAAATATTATTTTATATACCTTTGATAATGCAAATGGCAAGTTTTAAAAATATGAATAAGATGATCTATCCAGCTTAAACTTGAATCAATTGTTGATAAAGCCAGTCCAAGTCCTTTTGCTTGTGCAATATCCAAGTCACCCAAGATACAACACCAACCATCATCATGAATATGCTGAATTTTAACAGACTTATTAGTTAAATTTTTAATGGCCTCAATGATCATTAGAAACATTCGTCTATAAGCATCCGCATTAGAAATATTCGTAAAAATTCTTGCGAATGTTAATACTATTAAAAATTAAAAGCATTAATAATTTAAATAATAAAATTAAAATTTTAAAATAAAATACATACTTATTTGATGATTTTTGTCATATTTATTAAGCTTAAATACATTAATATCACCTTGTACAGGTTTATAAGTTAAGTCCATTTGAAAATACTTCGTTTCATAAAGTTTTATTGCTTGTTCTTTAGTCATACAGAGGACCATTATATGCCCGCTATCAAAAAAACCTTTTATGTATATAATAAAAGTAATTAGTTAGCAATATGTATATATATATAGAATATTTAATTTTTAAAATAAAACATACTTAATTGTTATATATAATCACAAATATTATTTTTGTTTTTCCAGAAATTATATGTGATTCCAAGAATGCCCTGTCCTTGTGGATTTTTGGCTTGTTGTACCCAGTTTACTAAATATCGTAACTGGTCCAAATTATTGAGCGATGCATGAATTTCTGATAAAATATCAATTCCAAAGTGTGCATAAATAAGATTATCTAAAATGTAAATATATATATATTTAATTAAATTTTAAAAAAATATATAAATTCAATTAAATATATATAAATAAATAAAAATTACTTGAAATAATTTTCCAGGGAGTAATATAATCTAAAAGATCTGATGCATTATTAATCATTAGATTAATACGATCTTTTATAGCTTCCGGAATATGACTTGGTGGTGGTGGCGGATGAGTATATTTACCAACACTCACAAGAACAATGAATGGACAATTAATTAAATCCACTGGTGTAAGTCGATAAAATGTAACATTACATGGTAAATGAATTAAATTAGCCTCTATAGGATTTCCATTATTATCTATATGTGGGAAGGCTAAAATAATATAAAATTAATATTAAACTATTAAATTATTAATTTATAAAAATTTTACTTACAGCATACTAATCGCTTAGAGCTATTTGACAAAACTGTACTACAATTATTATTCATTTCATGTTGATTTAGAAGCTAAATAATAAATATATATATATTTAAAATTAATAAATATATAGTAACAGTAATATATTTTTTAAAAAAAACATACCATTCTGTCAATTAAATTTTTTAATAAATGACAATCTATAGCTTCTGTAAGTGGTATATAACAGTGTCCAGTAATACCATATTTCCAAGATGTGCAACCAACAAAATATCCATTGTTCTTATTAGTATTCGGTTGTGATATAGATTCACTTGAAAAAAGAGTTTGCATCCGTCGTTTTTTGATTATTAAGTCACCATTACATCGACTACCATCAGTTTGAATATATGGACAAGATACTTTTTTAGCTGCCAAATAAAATCTAATTAATAAAATATTTGTTATATATGTAAAAAATTTTTAAACTAAATTTAAATTAATAATTAGATATATATTACGATAATGTGTTGACTTGAATACTTCGTGATTCCTCAGTATTTTTAATAGTTTGAAAAATATTTGAATCAAAATCAACATCAGTATGCTTATAATGCATAATATGCTCATGCACAAAAGGACAAATCTTGATTCCTCCACATTTTCTTTGATCTTTAATAATTTGTATTTTTTCATTATTAGGTTCATCAAAAAATGGACAATTTACAGTTGAACTTCTGCCTTTGCCACTTTGCGAATACTGAATCTAGTAAAATATATAATTGTTAAATTTATTGTAATTTACTTTAAAACATACATTTATAGATGACTGATAAGCCTATTTTTGCTGTTAATAAACTAACGAAACCATAGGTTTCATCTTGACAAATTGACAAAACTATACAGTTTGCTGGATCATGTAAGTTTGATTAGGCATTATTACATACATCACAAAATACAACTCGAGCTTTATCTTTCATTGCTCTTTGAACTTGGATATCATCTTTATTTTGTACTTGAGAATAATTTTCACTTTCAATAAAATTATAGATAATCGCATAACCTTCAGGATGAGTAGGTGGATATTCAACTGAAATAGCCGAAAATTGGATATGTCATGCAGTTAAATTTTTGGTAAAATAGGCAATTTCTTCAATAAAGTTATCATCATTGCTATTGTCATTCTGAACAAATTTATAAATATTCAATATCTAACTTAATATTTACAGTAAATCAAATAATTTTTTACCTACTCATTTATTTCATCAAAGTCAACTTCCTCAAAAGTATCATCAGTATCAGAATTAATATTAATGAAAGAAGCCATATTGATATTAGTGTATAACGATTATAATAAAAACAGAAAACTGCAAATACTAAAAATATTCGCTTGCATATTAATTATACTGATCATAATAATTACGTACTGTATATTATATAGAATTTTGCATAAAAAATATCGATAAGGTAAATCATAGATTTAAAATCCTGATGAGTTTTCCCTTAGCAGCATATTTAATTGCTTCGTTATATTAAGATTTTATTTATACATCAAGTAATTATATAATAGCAACAAATATACAAAAGCACGTAAAGTATATTTATTAGTTATACATTCTGTATATACCACTATACATTAAGTATAATATAGTATACTTTACATATTTACTATTCTATACTATACATATATATTAAAAACTCATTAAAAATTCTATCTTAAGTCGTGTAAAAAGTTAACAAAAGGCAATTTATTGTAATTCCAATTTTAGTCCAGTTTTTGGTAATTTTGATCTAACCGTTTATAATCCTTCTAATACGTTTAAATTAATATGAAAACCGAATTAGAGATGCATCTACATACAAGTCAAACGACCGCTCATGTTTTTTAGTTGAAGAATACGAAATATTTCGAATCAGTAAAAAGTCCTAAAATTCTTTTTGCCTTTAAATTTCATGAATAAATGTCACCAAATGAAACATTTAAAAAAAGATATCTATTAATATTCATTTATAATCTATTTACAAAAAAACTAAGCTTTTTAAATGATCAATAAACAATAAACTATAATTAAAAGGTATTCAATTAATGTGATTGAAGTTGAAATTCTAAAATCAAATTTGTAATAGTTATTGTAATCATCTATTCATAGTGTAAGTAAAATGCATCATAAACTTTGCCAAGTTATTAAGAACTGATGAATATTCGAAGGTGTTGTATTTTATGCGAAGAATCACACAGATCAAGTGACAGCGGGCATTATAACTTACAAATCCCCTATAATTCTGTAATTCTGTAATTGGTTTAATCGGTTTTATGTAAACGATATTTATTATACAGATGTAAAAGCCTTAAAACTTTTTAAATTTTTTAAATAAATTTTTTCAAGCATCAATTTCGTATTTTAGGCTTTTTTATTTGTTTCAAAATATTATATACAATAAGATAACTAAAACATCGACAACAATAAGATTAGCATTCTAGCATGATTAAAATAAATTAATATTGATATTTGACCAATTAAAATTAGAAAGATCCACTTTCAAATCAAGATTTAGCTTTGTCCGAATTCTGAGTGAAGACATTGATTTAGAAGTTACATTTAGAAGGGTCTGACTGTATTTATTTCTTGGGAACTTAAAATTCATAATAGAGATTCCGGATGATTATAGTATACTGATGGCCGCATGACCATAAAAAACTCTGTTGTGAATTTAAACTCCAAGAAAAACAAATAATATAGGCCAGACCCCTTAAAATGCATTGTGACGGGAGTGCATTTAGAGAGGTATGGATTAAGGAAGTAAACTTCTATAAGTGTAAAATTAGTTGCGCCCAGAACCCTTAAAATGCATTGTGAAGGGAGTGCATCTAGAGAGGTATGGATTAAGTGAGGTAAAATTCTATAAGTGTAATATTAGTTGCGCCCAGAACCCTCAAAATGCATTGTGACGGGAGTGCATCTAGAGAGGTATGGATTAAGTGAGGTCAAATTCTATAAGTGTAACATTAGTTGCGCCGCAACAAAGATTTGAATTTAGGGTAGGCATGCATCTGCATTTAGGGAGTCTGACTGTATTTTAAAATCATGTAACTTAACAATTACGTATTTTTTTTAATATCATTTTAATTGCCTTAATGAGATAATTTAAATATCATTAAGATCTTAAATATTCAATTACTTTGTTTTTTTTAAAGATATTTATATTAAAAGTAAATGTCTTGAAAGCTAACCATCACTCATTTGTGACCAGGAATCTTTCAACAGAAATTCCCGGTCATGATATGACAACATGAGAAATTATAATGGACAACAAAGAGTAAAGAATGCTTGAAAAAATCGTACAATATTTGTGAGGCAAAATATTATTCAACGTTTTCGTTTGTTGACATCCAAATAAACGAATAATTTTGAGTAGGTGCAACATTAAATACCTGAGGTTATACATGTATGCATGGAAGCATACATATATTGGCGTTCCGTGGAAATTCAGCCAGGAAAAAAAAACATACGTATATAAACAATAGATTCCCGAGGTTATGGATTCTTGAGGCTAGAGAATATTTTGAATTTTAAAAGAACTATCCTTGTATTGTAAGTAAGTAATCGAATGCTAATTCATTAACTCACAAACCTTCTTTTTTATTAATATTTTATATGAAAATTATTCATTTTCTTTCATCAATTCGTATAAATTGATATACAAAGTTATATCTAATTAAAATTATTTGCAGGATGATTAAACTAGAATTGTCTACGGCCTTAATTGTTCTCTTGCTCAGCATAAGTTGTTTATTTACCGTTGTAATGCCATCTAAAGCACCCACATCGATTGGAAATACTGGTAAACTCTATTGATGATCTGGCACCATCTAAACTCGTTTTATTATACCAATGACTTTAAATTCTTTTGTTATTGCAAATTAAGAGTATCCAAAAAATATCAAGATTCCTGCCAATTTTACTATTCCGGCCGGAAATGATTTTAAGTTTCATTTGTACCTTGCCGGATTTGCCTGGTTCCTATGTGATACTAGTAGTAATAAATGGATTCCGGGTAAGCACATCTTTACTTACTTGATACTTATCTTGATACATAACTACTTGTAGTGCTTATGATGTTATATGTTTATTAGATCAATGGCGCTCAGTATATTTTAACAACAAAGACGAAATCTCCGGTTACCCCGTTTCACCTGTGGCTGTATTAGATACAAGAAGTATGTAATAACAAAATAAAATAATGATGGTTTTTTAATACTTTGAACTAGTTAACGACCAAATTCTGGTCAAAATTATAATAGTGAACGGAATTAAATTTGTATTGCATGATTTTTATTTGAGTGATTGAACATTAATGAAAAATTTTGATTATTGAAAATAATAAATAACGTTGTTGACATTTGGATTTAATCAGAATTCTTTCATTTTCATAACAATTTAGATGGTCAATTACATGTTCAATCAGCTATTCCAGAACATGATACTTCATCAATGATCGTAACTGTTATTAACGACGCACCATCAACTGATCCAACGAAAAATACTCCATCCGAGCTTGTTTCTGTTATAGTAATTATTATAATTTTATTATATAAATGCTTAATTATTCGATTAACATTTGTATCAAAATTAAATAGAGTACCGCAGGAGTTGGGGCCTTTTCAAATATAACCTATCTCATTCTTACAGCTACCGATGGCGGAGCACCACCAGCGAAGTCGGATTGTAAGTTAAAGTAGTTAAGAATAATATAAAACATTATCGTCCTTTATTTATAGCATTTTAATATTTATTACGTTGTAATTATTAGGTGGGACCAAATATCCAAATGGTTATCTCTTTTCAGAACCAATTTTTGCAACTATCTTATACTATGGGACAAACTAATACGCAACTTCCCATAACTTTATTACTGACATAGAATAAAAAATTTAACACTTATAATTATAAATGTAGAATTGCAGCAATCTATTTTACTGAAATCTTAGTTTTTTATTAAAATATTCATTTAATAAATATATTATTATTAAATAAGAATAATTTTTACCGTTTTAAAAAATTAATAAACATAATAAGATTATTTACTTTATCCCTTAAATCGTTTCTCGGGCAAATTTGTCTGCGAATTTTTGACAAAAATTGGTTTTATTTTGCTAGCACAACTACGTATTGTTTTGTCACTCATTCGCTTGTGATTAACATGGAAAAACAAACGGGTTTATTCCTTCTGCAATCAAGCATCTTCCGCAAATTTTATAGTATCGATTCCTCGCTCTCTTCCCTTTTTCTTTCTTCCTTTTTTTTTTTACTACTCAACGAACTATTACAAATCCTAAAATGACTGTCGTCCCGACAGGTCATAACTATTAAATGATAAGCTACGCTGTAAACGGTCATCTCGACAAATAATAAAACATCTCATGACTGTCGTCACGACAGGTCATTCATTAGCAAATCCTCTTTCCCAAAATAATCAAAATTGAAAATCCTTCTAACGGTTAGGGTGGGAGGGAAGGGACTGACAAATCCAGACTAAAGTCGGGTTCGCAAAAGAAATAGAGTTATTTTTAACTCTATTCATTACAACACTTAAATACTCAAATTAATTAGACTGAACTGATTTACTAATCGCAATTATTACCTCATAATTTCCCAAAGTCTATTTCATTACTAACACGAACATACGTCACTACAAAATTACCCATGTGACTGTAATTGGGCATGTCACATGTCTGGATACAAGCTGATTCGAGACAAAAACTGCCTTGATACTACCGTATCGAGCAGACTTAAATCATAATGCGAGACAAATTTTTTTACATTTCATGCGCATAAAATGCACATGGGAATTTTTCAGAATCATTAAGGAGTTTTCAGAATTTTTCGGAATCATTAAGGAGTTTTCGGAATATTTTGGAACCTATTAAAAATTCTGGCTCATATGAGTGTGCCAAGGGAAAATGTCTCTCTGTAAATTATGATATATTATTGATTATTTATATGATTTAGCCTTTTGATCAATGACACATCGGGCTTTCAAAATTTGTGCTGTATTGTATGTATATATTGTTAGAGGGAAATCCGGTTAGAGCCGTTTCGTAACGATCGTCGAAAACGTGACCGAAAACGTGACCGGAATCGCAAGTTGGATCGAGACCTAAAACCGGCGATCGTGTAACCCGATTTCTCCCCATTGTA